GTGTGTGTCCTCTGCACAAATACTGTTATGCAAGTGGTGGAAGGAGGAATGTGTGTGGACTGAGTGAGAAAGTATGATTCTGAATGCCTGTAACTTACACAAATAGCTGTGTTTATGCTGGTAGATATGTGGACAATTCTACCCCCCTTTACATGGGCATTTGTTACCACTAAATCTGTATCTGTGAACTAGCTTCTCACAGAGTTTTATAGCACTGTTTTCCTTTATCAGTTGCATGTTACATTTCTAACAGGAGCATTTTTTGAAAATGCCCTTTTGCAACCTTATCTGGTGGATAAAGGTGGTCCTTGCTTAATGACCACTTGTTCAGCAATCGTTTGAACTTGCGACAGTGCTGAATGAGTGATACTTCCGACAGGTGCTTGACGTTTGGCTGTTGCAGTGTCCCTGTGGTCACATGATTGTGATTTAGGTGCTTGGTGACTGGCTCACAATTACGACACTGCAGCATCCTGTGACCACATGGTCACTATTTGCGATCTTCACTGCTGGCTTCTGACAAGCAAAGTCAATGGGGAAGCTGGCAGGAGGTTGCAAATGGTGACCATGTGACATTGCACTTAATAACTGCGCGGGATTCACTTAATGAAGGGAACGAAGTGCTGGAACTGCTGTCACTAAGCAGTGTGGTCACATGACGTTGTGCTTTACGACTATGTCGGTCAGTGATGGAAATATTTCAGTCCCAATTGCCAACATTAACTGAGGACTACCTGTAACAAGATTGCCTAATTTCTTTATAGCTTCATAATAACATTGTAAGGCAGTTCCAATAAGGGATAACCATTTTCTTGATAGAACTGTCATACGATGTTACTGTGAGCTACAGTATCTAAGGGCCCTTCTATAATGCCATCATTTCCACTTCCCAATCCCTCCGAAACAATTTGATCCATGATTGTCTTCACTGCTGCAGACCTTGAAACACTCAGTGTTCTCTCCAACTGAGAACATCTTTCTATCAGTACCCCTTCCCTTTCCACATATTGTGCATGTCTGATGACTTGCAAATAAATCCAAGCAATTGCTATGAGACACCTGTAAAAGAATAATCTCTTGACAGGATGCTATGGAACTGAACCTCTATGGGGAATGTAAACAGATTGGCTGGACCTGAGAACTGGGAGGCGGGATTAGAAATTAATTCTCACCAATGGGAAAAGGCTCACCAACAATCTCTGCAAAGCTTCAGCATTGCAGACTAAGAAAAATATGTACCTTTAGCAAGGGCAGGAAATTTACTGGGGCAGCTGTTAAACAGCAATAAGAGTGTAAGATCTTTCAGATGCAAAGCTGATTCTGGAGCAGTGTAAAAATTTCCTGTAGAAAGGGAAGTCCCACAACCTGAACCTTCTGTGTACCTGTTCCTCTCCAAATATGAAGTAACTGTGTTTGATGTCTGATCTGATGAAATTAGTGCAATAATTAAATCCTGAATTGCTGGTGCAAATCACCTGAGAGGATTAAAAACAAAACAAAAACAAAAACCAGTCCATCTTCTTGCTTAAGTGATCTGGATGGCATTTATTAAGTACATTTCTTATATTTGAGTCAAATACTTGGATGATTCTGTTCCATTAAAGTTTAATAACATAGAATGCAGGCTACTGAACATTAGGGATGCTATGGTCCAAGTATACATTGTGGACCTTGGATACCGAATCCAGCTGTTCTGAATTCACCTACATATAGATGCTTGTTAGCTGGAAGTTTGTAATTTATAGAAAAGGCTCAATATGGGCATCCTGTCACATTAGACTAAAATAATTCTCAACTTCTTTTGTTTCTGGCTAGGCTTCAGGCACTGCACATGCTGGAATATAACGTACAATATATACTGCATCTAATGGATACCTATGTAAGAAACTGTCGTGTCTAGTTGTTTCACCTATGTAATACAATACTGTCTACGTCTCAGGATTTTAGACACATTTTCAGTTCCTAAAAATACCAAGGATCGTACCCTTTGCATGCATGTACTGAAATATGCCTCTTTCCCATAGGAAAATTATAATGTAGGAGTATTGAAGCCAAATCTCCTAGTCATTTATAAGCACAACAATAGTTCAAACATGCCAGAAGTATACATAAAAGAATAAATTTGACTTAATAAATAGAAAATGACATTTACAGATCACAATAAATTACCTAAATTAACTATTCCTTTGTACCTATATATAAACACAGATGTATGAACTTATATCTAATTTGCATGCTGTTGTATCTCCAAATTGAACATTAACCAGTATGTCACATTAAGGTTGAGTTTTTAGAACACCCCAACTAAAATGTGATTGGCACTGTGTTGGGTGAACTTGGGCATTTAGGCTAATTCAGTAAGCCACAGTTCAGCAAACTAAGGGTTAATCAACTCCCCTGATAAAGTCACAGATTTGCTACCTACCTGACCAGTTTTCTGGTGGTAACCTGTCAGCCGGATGGCCCCATTCCCCAGTGGGGCACCTTTCACTCTATCAAGAATGATTCCCAATTGTATTTCTTTTGGCTGCCTGCAGTTTCCCTGGTGGGGTTGTGGACTCGGGGGTATTTTTTCACCTCTGCTGGAATTATTAGATGCTTATTAGTACACACATTCTTCTTCCACATCTCATGAAATAATATGTACCATCTTTATCACGCTCCAGGAGTAAATGGTAGTTTTCCACCAAAGAGCTAAGAAAAAAATCATCTTATACACCCAGAGAGGAAAAATCAGTCTGAAAACCAAATTGCACTGAATCTTTACCTGGAGCAGGCTGGAGAAGCCTCTGATCTGTTTCTGGGTGTTGCCAGTGCCATAGCCAGGAAAATAGTGTAGCGGGACATGGGGGTATGAACAAGGAGGAGGGTGTGTGTGCTGAATGTGAACAGAGTGCAACACTAAGTCCAGGAGAAAGTTCTTTAAGAAACTCAGTATGTACCCATTTGGATGTTAGCAGAGAAGAAAGTTAAAGGCAATTGATTATGTAGGCATATAGATAAGTAAAATGTGACAAATGGGAAAGGACATGGGAAGAAAGAACAATGATACTAGAATTAACTTATAGGCATTGAAACGTCTTGTCTTAATCACTGCGTTTATTTGGAAAACTATTGGGCAATTGCACAGCAAAACAAACCCCAAAGCAATAACAAAGAGCAAATTGGACACAACAAACTGGAGCTAAACTCAGAGTAATCTAGAATGAGTTAACGTTAGAAAATTCTAATTAAATTGCTTACTCAATATTTCTGGTCAGGAATTCACCTATATACTTTTTTGTATATAGGCTAAACATCACTGTGTTCCTTCCTTTTTCAGTCAGTCAGTTTAGAATAATGGTCACTGGTCATAATCACAGCTATGGATATTAAACTAAATGATAATCATTCCAATAACAGTAAGTCTTATTATATTTAACTGTTCTGAAAACTTCAAAGTTACTCAGGAGACCATTTACATACATTTTCACTGGTACGTAAGGGACAATTTTTTAAAATTACATTTTGCTTAATAGGTTAGAAGTTTTTATCCAGCAATTATCTCTTCAAAGGGCGGGGCTACAATTATAACCTACCTATCTGGAAGTAAGCCCTACAGAATTGGATGGGACTTAGCACTTGATAGCTAGGTATAAAAGTGCTGTAAAGGATCTAGGCTAGCAATATTTATCAGTTCAAATAAGACATTGCAAAAAAAGAGCTCTGTTAATCTATGGTAGCCAAAAATCAGAAGTTCAGTAGCACCTTTTCAGATTAATAAATATTTCAGGCTATCTCAAAAGGTCTTAACAAACATAAGTTTGTTTTTTCACACACTACAGTAAGTGTGATTTGAAAAGATGCTTGTAATCTGTGTCATATGCAATATGCATAATTACCTTGTTTTCCTCCACCTCATCCCTATTTAAATCCTAATCAGGTTAGCCATGCCTCTGAGGAAGGGTGCTGTAACTCACAAAAGCTGATGCCTTTTGATAAAATTTGTTAGTCTGAAAAAATACTATCAGACTTTGCCTGATTTTCAGTTCAAATAAATGGAAGTGCCATTAAGATAAAAGAAAGGTAAATAATGCTTGTTTACTTCTGATGCATACTAAGTAGTTGCCAAATTACTAAATATAAACTGAAATATATATCTTATTAGGACATTCATTTAAAATCTATACCTCTGCTTCAGTGGAAGCAATTTGATTTCATAGAGGTCTTCATGTGATCTTATAATGGACTGCTGACTATGATTTCCTTCTACTATGTAGTTCACAATAGCTGCATATATTACACCAGGTTATGGTTTCTGTTAATAATTTTTTGTCGAATAAGGTAGGACGTGTGGGTTCATACATAACACAAAGCCATAAGTTATGGTTTACAAATTACAGTGTTTAGCTCTACACCTTATGGCCCAGCACCATGTGTGAACCCAGCAACTGTGTATTTATAGAGACTGAATACAATGAATGAATATACCCATTCTCATTGCCAAAGTTGCATGCTGATGAATCCCGAAAAGCAGATTTTAGATTAAAATTCACCACAGACTTTGGTAGACCAGTGTGATGGAATGGAATTATGAAGGCCAGGCTCAGGGAGATAAGCGTTTTCT